ATTGCAAGAGGGAAATAAACACTCTCTGCAGAACAACATTTGTCAGTGTTATAAGTAGGGATGTCCTTTCCCCCAAGATAAGCTTCTGATGACAAGAAGCAACCTCTTTAAACACAGGCATGACATCTTCAAGTTAAGCTTGTTTATATGGCAAAAATAGATCCAGGATTGTCTTTCTTTTTTTTTCCCTTTGATAGTACATCTTGTTTATATCAAATAAATATTTCTAAGACTTTCATCAACTTCAAGTTCATTTTTCACTCATGCTAAATAAGTATTTATGTTATAAGATGCTAGAGCCAGACTGGATTTTGTTCTTGGTTTTGAGGCTGGATTTATTTCTCTCTTCTTTTAAGTGGACTTGTTCTTGAATAGACTTTATAATACTGTTACAAATATTGCAATCATTCATAGCAATGTAATAAAAATTCTTTAGTAAATCTCACATAGCATTCCCAGGCTTTGTTCTGCCTCACTCTAAATCTAAAATTTAGATTTGATTGCTTTTATCACATGGCATAATGAAAGTGGGAAAAAAGCCTACCGAACTGCGAGTCCCTGTCAGTAGAACATCATTCTTGAAAAAGCAATATTACCAATCCCTTCCCTTTCTCTCTCAGAACTATCAAAGAAAATTTATAAATGTTACTAAAAACTGTTTTCAGTAACTGGCACAGCTTTGCTGTAGATTTAAAGATAGAGGAGCTTTTTGTTTTTGCATTCCAAACTTAATATCCAGAAGCATGTGTGTAGACTTTCTCTCTCTTTCAGAGTCTGAGAGGATTAGAAGGAAGAAAATTGTAGCATTTCTCAAGAGTAGGTCAACAGAATTACCACTATTATGTTTCTCTTCAGGATTTCCCACAAAGAAATGTATATGGTACTATGTCACAATAGCCTTAAATGCAGCACTTCTGGAAATCATCATACTCATTGTCTTCAAACTCTGTGTCTGATCAGCAGGTTCAAAGCCATCCTTCACTCTTCAGACATTCTAGATTTGCGTACACATTTGCACCATCATTGATGGTATTTCATGATTTATGGGATTTTTGGACTCTGTAACTAGTCTTCCAAATCTTCTGGATCTGTATACATATGTTGTATCTGTACAGCAGAGTCAGGACATCCTAGATCAATGTGCTAGCTACAGAAAATCTTCCTGGGCAAAGCTTGGAGCAGAGAAAAAGGACACAAAATTCAGTTATAAAATAGCTTTAACACAAGGCAAACAAAGACAGTTCTACTGCAATACTGTGGCCCTGAAGATTTGTATGAACACCTACCAAATATGTGTCATCTTTTCAAAGAAATTTTCTGCTTCAAAGCATTGTCTCTTACTTTAGTCATGAATTCTTCTGTAGGTATTATCCCCTACAAAAACCAGCCGACATCATGTCTGCCTTTTGATTTTCAAGTTGTTTCAGATTCTCTTCTCAACAGCCTTGGTCAAGACAGGCTAGTGATAATTTACCTGTTATGTCTTTAATTTTTTTTAGAAGAAGAATGTCCACTTCAGAATGCCCCTGGCCACATGCTGAGTTAATGTGTGATGCAGAGACTAGAAAAAATAGTTACTGGATGGCTGAGGAAAAAACAGCTTATTTCTATCATTTTTTAACAGACATGATGGCTCAATACCTCTTCAATATCACTATATAAATAGCATCTACAATATTATGATGACAGAAATATAATACAGAGTTTTGCAATGAGGTCAACACTGAATACATAGGAGGAGATGTTCAGTTCTTTTGTATTAAAATTTACCTGTACTGTTGCAATTTCATCAAGAGTAAAAACCATTACCTAACTTTTAAATGCAAACCCAAAAGGTTATGGAATAGCTTTTCTGCTTTTCTCACTACTTGTCAAACCAATATCTTTGCCTCTTGTGGTTCTTCTGTTCTTGTTAAATTACACCTTAATCATTCTTTCATGATTAGCTCAAATTTAAGAATTTGGAAAAAAATTAAATCACCAAAACTGTCAGTTACATCATCTAACTTAGGGTATTGGACAGCTATGTTCTCTAAATTTAGCTGTAGAATAGTTAAGTGTCAAGACTGAGACATCAGTTTAGTCTCTGATCAACCAGTAAAGAGAATCTCTGAAGTGTAATTCACTGGAAATAATGAACCACTATAGAAACTGAATCATCTTTATACATGGCACTATTTTAGATGCTAGAGATGCTCTAACATGCCATAATTTAAAGCGTGAAGAAAATGCTGTGGAGCTGGATATGCAGCCAAGCAGGCACTGTCCTTGCTCTGTGCCATAAAGAACAAGCTAATAGTGCTGGTAAAGCACATCCTCATTAATACATGACACTCCTATATGCAACAGGCATTTTTAGGACAATCATGGGCACTTGTTGAGGCAACTTGCAGACCTGGACTTGTTCCTGCACACTGGCTTCAAGCTCATCATCATTTTCTTCTATTCTATTTCAATTTTTAAATCACCATACTCATGGCTGCTGTATTTCATGAGTACTATCTTTTAAAAATCAAATTAAAGGAAAAATGATTATTTGTTGCCATAAAACTGAACAGATTTTTATGGAACATTCTAAAAGTAGATTTCAATGGTTGATAGGCATTCCTGGAAAGCATCTGACAGAGAGAATTTCATTATAGTCCTCAACATCTTAACTCTCATAATTATCCTATAATAATTAAAGATATTTAACACAGTTGCAAGACAGGAAGGCATAAGAAAATAAAGGTCTTTTTCTAGTCCCCATAGGTATGCAGAGGTTTTCAAGATATATGATGATGTGAACCTGTGGGTTAGAAGGCACTGCTCAGAACAGTGATGCATGGTAAAGAGAAATCATGTGGAGAGGAATTGAAATTACAGCAGTAGATTAAATACTTCAAAATATCACATCAATCTGTACCAACCAAGTATAGAAAAAGTAATCTATGTATTCCTATTTAAAATGTTCTTGAAATACTAGGAGCTCACATCCATGGAAAAGGCATTTTAAAATCCAGATTTACTCTAATTTTTACCTCCCCCCCCTTCCCAAAATAAACATATACTTTAGGGATGTAATGTAATTCTTTCAATTATGGAAGTCTAACTGAAAAGTATGCAAAATAACTTTTAAAAGGAAATAAACTTTATAAATTAGAACCATAAAAGCTGCAGAAGGGTCCTCAAACCAAACCCACAGGAGACCATAATTTGAAATCAGTCATCAAGAAAGTAATTTAAAGTTAAAAATGAGAAAGCTACAAAGTTTCTGTGGTGATAGAGAGGAAAAAAAAAAGACGTGCTATGATCCACACCCATCACATGATCCACAAATGTCTATAAAAAACACCAAACATTTACATAATTGGAGTGCTGGAAAGAAAAGAGACCAGCCTGTTTCATTTAGCAAGGAGAAACAAAAAATATTCCATACAATACCTCTTCTGTGGGGGACAAAATGATAAAACATCATTTTGCAAGAATAGCAAGATATTGCAGGGACCATGTCTCAGAGATGAATGCATACAAACTCACAATAAAGTTCATTTTGTCAGGTTAATTAATCAGTGCAGCAAACTGATAAGGGAAATAATTATTTTTTCTTTCCGGTATATTAAAATGAATTCCATATGGGACTATATGTTGGTTTTGTAAAGTAATGATGTTAATAGGCTCAATGAAATTCAGTGATATGTGGCACTCAGGAGTTAAAATTAGATAAATCTTCAGATAATCAATTACAAGTTTGGGAATTGTCTTAATTTCTATAAAGTACTGGAATGTGGAGCATATTGTCAGCAAGTTTGAGTACAACTTCTGTTACTCACAGCCTGATTCTAACTGGTTGAAGAATAACCAGAACTTGATTGTCACATACTTATTTTTTGTGTCTTAGACAAGATACCCTGAAATTTTGAGAGAAAGGTGATATTCTTAATGAAACTTCATATATTTATAGCAAGTGAAAATCAGCAAATCATGACAGCAATTTATAGCAGTTTTGAATTTAAGCTAAATGAATTTGAACTATTATGAAGTGTTTCTCCTCATTTAAACTGTCACAAGGTCCTGTGTTCATCTCTAATATTGAAATAAATAAAAAATATGTTTTTCAAAAAGTTCCATTTTCTGTTATGGTGTCCTCCAAGTTGCTTGTGGAGTACCTGAAGCAGTCCAGTTTTCAGCTCACAATCAATTATTTTTTTTTTATCAACAGTTGTCTTTTTTCTCTTTTTTCCTCTTAAATACTTGCCATATTTAGAAAAATGTATGTCTGTACCATAAGGCCCATGGGTGCACAATGGCTGATGAGTTTTTGAGCTAAAAAGAACATTTTATAAGCGCAAACACTATTTATTGCATTTCTTCCCTGAATATGAATGTAAATGACCCAGGGTCCTCACAGACCTCTGTGGGACAGCAGGCTGCAGTGAAAAACCCTTCTGCTGCCACAAGCAAGAGTGTAATGCTGTGAGACAGAAACAGAAGTGCCATTAATATGTCTTCTCTCACAAACAGTTTTGCAGCTTGAAGAATATTGTAAGAAAAATGTCTCCACACCTTTAGTCACTTAAATTTACCCAAGCTAGCACCTAGACAGATGCTTTCACTGATTGACCTCAACTGCAGTTTCATTGCAGAAAAATTGGGATGTTTTGGAATTTGCGAAATACATCCAGGTTTTGAAAGTTGTTATTTTTGTTGATCTATTGAGTGGCAGCATTCAGGAGTAAAGCATAGAGTGCTGATGAAATTCTGGAGAGAGTGATTTTAAGTGATTTACTTGATCTCAATAAAAACAGCCTCCCTTGTGGATGAAAGAGACACATTCCATGTAGCAATCAATTTATTAAGGATTCCCTATAGAAAGTGAACTAGATCAACCATTATATGTACCTTAATTGTGATTATGTTTTATTGCTACTTAGATTATTAAGTGTTTAAACTACCGGATAACAGAATCTATATTCTCAATAGTGGAAGACTGTTAACATTAATTTTACTAAATATTTCAGCCCTGTTCCAACAATCTCTTGGAGGAAAGTTAATGGTCATAATCCAAGTAAAGCTCGCCTGAGAAAATCCCAAGCTGTGCTTGAAATACCTAATGTGCAGCTAGAGGACTCAGGGATGTATGAATGTAAGGCTGAAAACTCTCGCGGAAGAAATGTCTTCAGAGGACAGCTACAAGTATACAGTAAGTGTAACTGCACACAGTATTGTCCTGAAATTCTTTGTCCACCCTTAAGGCTTTGGCTACACATGAAGCATTCCAAGGCTCAGTAGAAACAAGATACCATGATATATAGAGTATATACCACATACCAACAATAGATTTGAATTAAGGTATATATTTTTATTCCTTAGTATTGCATTAAAGTCTGAAACATAAATAATGTTGACTCCTTTGAAGAATTGACTTAAATATAATTTCATATGGGATTTGGTTTTTGGTTTGTTTTCTTTCAATTGAAGAGTATAGCTATTTCTTTTAGTTTGGATATAACAATGACATGCAACCTAAACATGAATTATCTCTCAGAAAACAATGCTGGAGATGTTTTAGGATTATTATCACACTTTTATTAACATTTTACCTGTGCCACGCTTAGGTGCTGAGCTTTGTCAAGTTCATTGCTCTGGAATGAGAGCTGAAGAAGGATCTGGTTTTCACAGAAAATTCTCAATCTAGCTGTGCACAATTTCCAAAAGTTCTGATTTTCACAAAGTGTTCAACATTTTCTAAGACTCAAAGAAATTTTTTGACTGACCATAAAAGTAATACTGAGTAATGCATAACATTGAAAATAAAAAAGGAATACTGAAAATAAAAGTATTAAACAAACCCTATGAATTCTCTTATACTGTTGCATTCTAAAGTCTAGAAACAAAAGCCTACGTAATACATATCATGAATACTTACAAGTCAAAGTTTGGCAAATATCACATATAAGCTTGAGTCCCACTACTTTTTATCAGTTTAAGCCACACTACTTTCTCTATGAACGCTACAACATTAAATATGTAGCAGGAAAGGTCTAACGTGGGAGGTTATGCAGCAGATCTTTCAAACTGAATTGTTTACTGTCTTCAATTATCCCAGCCAGTGGAATTCCAAATGCTGCAGTTTAGATAGATCCTCAAGTTAATGGATACATCTAAGAAGAAGTTTCTCCTCTTAATCAATTTTCTTTTTCTTTTCACGATTTCAGCCCATGGCTCCTAATGCCTTCTCTCCATTACTAACTACAAAGTTTTCTGTCTTTGTTACACACTTTCCCCAAATAACTATAGACCAGCATAGTGTATTTACTTTATTTTGCACATATGTCAATATTTTCAGGTCCATAATAAATTTTTCTGTCTCCCCTGGCTTTCCAATGTCTTTCTCTTAACTCCGTTGATTTAAGTGAGTATCAGCATATCTCTGGATCATGATTCTTTCTTTTCATTCTCGTCCACCTAGAGTCCAGGGCAAGTTTTTGTCTTCAATTTTTGTTGTTTATGCTGGAAAAATTATGTTATGGTTAAGATGACAGTCCGTGCATTCAATTTCAGATTTGCCATCTTGCACTTGCAGCAAAGGTTTTATAAGATTTTTGCTGAAAACAGCAGTCCAAGCCCAGCACCTACTCTTTGCCTCCTACTATGACAATACCCCACTGATATTTCTCAAATTCCTACTATAAATTACTTCCATGAAAGTATAGCAGCTCCTGCAAGTCACCTGGGGTCAGGGGAATTTAGCAGCTGGTCTTTTTGTACAATGTTTCTTAAAATGTAAGAAATTCAGAAAATTTAATTTGAGTTTTAAGATGTATCCCAGCTCATACACTTCCTACCTGTTTTCTAGAGCTGTGAAACTACTAGATGCCAAAGCAGCACATAAAGGTGTTATAATTATCCCTGCTTCCCTCTTTCAGAGTTAAATGAATACAGAAAGTGCTCTTCAAGAAAGAAGCTTAGATGCCATAAAATGAAATTATTTCTTCAAGAGCACCATGGAGATCTGTGGCATAACATGACAGCAAACATGATATAGTGTCCTACACAACTCTTCATCTCTCACTAGCCTTTTGCTTTGAGCAGAAATAAAGGTGGTACTCAAATCCATGGAAAACATTTACAATGTTTGTTTTGTCCTATTCTTCTTAGATAGAAATATGAAATTTTCATACTTCACCATTGTCTAAATTATATTTTTAGAGTATCTGCCTTTACGGGGTAGAGCACAAATTTAGCTCATTGGTGTGTTATGCAATAGTATTAGGACATCTTTAACACTTTAGGAAGAGAGTTTCCTTCATATTGTCTCATTCCTCTATTAACAAGTGAGATTAGTACATTAATTTTCACCTCTCTGCATCAGCAGGCAGCATGGTCAGAACAGGTTACAGAGGAGTTTCAGATGGACAATACCAGCAGTGACCTCCAATACAGCAGGACAAGAAGCACAGACTTTAGTAGGCCCCCACAGGTGCCTTTCCTTGGCCTCAAGATAAAATACTTCCCATGGAGCCACTCTCAGCCTTCAGTGCCTAGGGAGACAGCATTAGTATCTCACTGGCCTGCAAACCTTGGCTACTTTTTCCAGAGGTATAAGGAATGACGTAAGAGGGTTTGTGTGAGAAGGCTTCTACACCAAATTTAGCCAAACGTTACTTCACAAAACTCTCAGCCTCCTTTGCTGATGGCTGATGTTGCAGGATTGGGGGACATTATCTGAAATGGCCTTTTCTGCTGTACCTTTTGTTCATAACAACAGTCAACATGAATTATTTACCTGTAAGCTCACTGTCTTTTCACTGACATATTATTCCTCCAGGTGACAATGATTACTTTGGCTCAAAAATTGAGATGTAGGCCATCATTCCTTAGTAGGGGTTTCTTGTAAAATTTCAGAGCAGTCTGTAGGACCAGCTGTGTCATACTGCGGTCTCCCAATTTGCATATCTCTGTAGGAACTCACTCGCTGTCTGTTTGAATCTTCTTCATCCTGTCAGTTGCATCTGATCTGGGTCACCACAGAGTATTTTGGAGAAAGCCCAGGACACCCAGTCTGCCTGTCTAGTCACATTTAATCACAAACTAGCGATATTTCACTACTTACCTGCTGCTGCAATCCAGATACACCATGACTCCCTGATGCAGCTGACAATTCAGATGTTGTTCAGAAAGTGGTGTTTCAGATGCTGACAACTTCAGATTATTGTAGTCTCAGCACTTAGTGGAAATTCAGCTGTAGGCATTAAAAACATAATTTTTAAAATGCCAGGCATCCTCTTATGCATTGCAACCTATTTTGAGAGGTGTGATTTTCCCCCAAGTGATCTGCTCATCCTGTAAGTTTCTGTGAAATTTTATTCAAGCTCAAGTTGATTAATAGAAGAGAGCACAAAAATTAAAATGTGAGTGGATAAATTTGCCACTAACCTTTGTGTTTCTCCTCAAATTCTGGCTAGCAGCATTTTCCCAATGGTAAGCACTGGTATGTGAAATTTCTGCTCCTCTCTCACTCTAAACTTTTTGGGGTTTTTTCCATGTTACCTACTCACTTCTGCCAGGATCAGCAGGGGGTGGTGATGTGAAGTGATTCCAAAATCACATTTTTGGCTGTTTTTCTTTTGGCTGTATCAGTTCCCTCATCCTGCACACAGCAGTGCCTTCCTGGCAGCTGGAGGGAAGGCTTGCCATAACACAAGAGTGGAACACGCATCTGACAGCAGGAATATTCTGTAATTCAGTGTAACTGACCATGCTGATTTTCAAATCTGCTTTAATTACTTCCTTATAAAACTGTATGGGAAAAAAAGTCCACTTCTGCCACTACAGGTTAGTCCCACACAGTAAAACTGGCAAGAGAAGACATTTTGTAGTCAAAATTGTACATTAGTTTTAAATTGCCTATCTTGACTTTCTCACTTATCTTTCTCAGTATGCTTCTACTTCACTCTTCCCAATTAATCTCATAGAGAGGAAAATTTTTTTTCACCTCAAACTCTGTATTCATTCACATTTTAGGATATTATTTGAAGTCATTTGTCTATGTAAAATTTTTTCCTTATTTTCCCTCAGACAAAAAGCTGCTTAAAATTTTGAGAAATAATCTAAATTTTCTGCACCTTAATTTCATCTGATTATTTAAAACTGATTTAAACATGATTTAAAAACTGGCCTGTAAGCTTTTGGATTTATTGACAATTTATGTCTGTGAAACATTTTGATATCCTTGAATAAACAGGTGCAGAAATGCAGCATAAAATAAATCATGGATTGGAAGATGATTTTAAAATGTCAGAAACACAGTACAGATCTCTGGCCCAACACTGATAAAGACTACTGAATACTAAAATGCATCCTTTTCTTCTCATAGTCATCTCAAAATTTTTCACTGGGCTGATTAAAAAACAGGCAGACATCTATTTTTTTCCCAAGAATAATGTTGTATTTATAAGAGAAAGAAGGTCTTGTTATTTTTGAAATCTGGTTAAATTTTCTAATTCAAATAGAGTGGAATTATGGAATGACGTTTTCTTTGCATACAAATATATTAGGGTTACATTAAGATACTTTTATTAAAAGACCCGAAAACGGTACATTGAGTCAGAGGTTGTACATTCAGTTAAATACTACATCTTTAAAAGTACTGATAGGATTTTAGAACAAGGGTTTTGATTTTATGGGGAGTGACCCTTGCTAATGAGCAGCGAGGGAATTCTCTGTGATAAAGTAAGGAGTACATAGAGAGAGAAATAGAAGCCAAAAAATGATGACCAGTATTTCTCTCTCAAGCATGCTTTTAGATCTATTGCAGCTACATCTACCTATTGCTTTGCTACTTTATTCTCAAAGGGGTGGGAATCTTGCCTTCACTGATGGCAAGTTCAACAGCTTGAAAAATGTGACTTCAAAGGCCATTTAGGCTATGAGGAGAAAATTTAGAGTAGAAATACCTCAACTAATGGAAAAAGGTTGTTCTGAGCAATCAGTCATAGCACTGTGATTTGCAAGTTTGTAGTTTCAGGAGAAAACCTGTGCCACAACTGTGCTAGCAAGACAGCCACAAAGGGTAGGGAGCAGCAGTTCTGAAGAGGACAAGTCTGCAGCCAGGCTTGGGGCAGCTTTGTTTCAGTGTAAAAATGGGCACACACTTTTCTGGGTGCTCTGGCTCATGATGAGCTCAAATTCAACATAGAAATGTGAGACTATATATGTTTTGTGTCAAATAGTGCAATTTACAGAAAAGCAAAATAATGAAATTAAGTAAATCTAAGTAGGAACAGTTTAGTTCCTCTTTGAAACTGCATGATTTTATGGTACCACTGGCTGTCTTTTATGACTTTTTTGAGACACATTTAACTGTCTCATCTTCCAGAATCATATTAATGTAGTTATTTTCAAAGGAAACAATTTCTTCTCAGCATGCTTCCTTTGTGCATATTGAAACACTCAAAATGAGAACAGCAACTATACAGTCCACTTGAATTATATTTTTAGGACAACAGGCAACAAATAAGCAGGGACTCCCAAAACCTGTTTCTTTATGCATATTTTTTATAAAATCCTTTGTTATAACTTTAGAAAGTAGAAATTCAACACAACAGAGCACATGTAGACAATTTTTTGTGTTGCCTTGACTGCAATAAGGAAGAAGAATAAGGAAGAATAAGAAAGCAGAGGTTTTTTTGTCTTGGGTTTGGGTGTCGGGCTGGGTCAATCTCTCTTTTTCTCTACCAAAAAGGAAATGAGTGATTCTTCTTCTAATATATTTTCAGCTTCTGACAAATGTCTGGTCTGGGACTCTGAAGCAGACTATTCCCTGCTTAGGAGTGATAGACACCTCGTTCACTTTCTTTATCATCCATGCACAAGATGTAAGCTAGATGCAGTTAGTCATCTGTCATGCCTTTTCATATCTTCTCACGTCTTTGATGGATGACCTGTCAAATGCCAGCTAGATTCAAAGATTTATTTTTAAACTCAATTCCCCATGTTTAAGTACATTATCAATTATCTGACATTTGAAACAGAGAGTTTGTTATGACAGATCTGGACTTCTATTCATACCATGCAGAATTTTACATCCCTTTAGCAATGCCTTTTAGCTACTTATTCTTTATGATTTGGAAAAACAGCAGACAACAACAACAAAAACAAACGAACAAAAAAATCCCAAACCAACATTTGATATCATTAAGTTAATTATCATCATCCATCACTCTGTGTTATACAAAGTGATACGGCAACGGTATGAAAACCCAAAATCTGGCTTTTAAGCACATATTTTTATTTCTGCACATCAATGCTCAGTTTCTCACTGAGTCATATAATGTTTTCCAAATTATAAGATCCTACAAATAGCCATCTGATTGATTGACACATTAAAGTTCTACTTCTCTGAAAAAAATATTCCTGTTTTTTGATGTATTATTTCATGAAAGGTATGTACTAGTGATCACATATACAGCTATCAACTGTCTGCCTTTAAAAAAAGGCTTAATATTGATTTACTGTGTAATTTATGTTTCTGATGAATGCTGGAAATCTCGTGGGCTCTGTGCTTAAAAATGTTAAAAGCATTTTCCCCCTTGAAATATGAATTAAACTTAGGACACTTTAACAAAAATATGTGCAAATACCTCACCAAATTCCCAGTCTATCCTAGCTAAATAAATGACGATTTCCTTGTAAACTCGGAAAATGGCATGAAACACAGCCTGTGACAATCACCTCCTTACCACAATTCAAATATCTTAGGTCTTGTAAGTTATTTAATGTACTATTGTGCCCACCAAACATTTGTCTTAAATTCAGGAATAATGAACACAATAATATATAGTATTGCAATTTAATCCATTGGACTTTATAAATCAGGCAGGTTTCTATTCTTGTTCATGTTACTGCTCACTACCTGGTACCATTGCAGCAATTCCTTTAAAGTTTGTAAAGGCCATTAATTTAAGCTTTGCAATTGGTTAGGTCTTTGCACATCAGCTAGAGACTTACCACCTTATAATCTTTGACTCTAACATGGCAATTTTTTCTTGCAGCCTACCCACACTGGGTGGAGAAACTTAACGACACACAATTAGACAGTGGAGATCAGCTCCGATGGGAATGCAAAGCCACTGGAAAGCCAAGGCCCACATATCGCTGGCTGAAAAATGGAGCTCCTCTCTGGCCACAGGTACACTAGACAAGGAGTCACCTGTCTGTTGGATGCTTCCCCTTTCAGTCAGGAAAAATCAGTTAAAGATAGTACTGAAAAGTTCTTCAGAAATGACAGTTTGGTTAACGCAAAAAATATGATGACCATCGCATTTTCAACTCAGTTTGTTCTCTGCGAGTTACAGAACTCATCATGAAGACATTAAAATGGTTCATGTAAGACTCTTAGAATGTAAAAGTGCTTTACTACAATTACTGGATATATTTTAGAATTAGATATAAATAAAATTCTCTTTTTCTTTTAAAAGACCATTGATGGCATGATGTGTCTTTTATTTCACTTTTTTCTGATTCTTTCGTTGAATCATCCCATACCAAGTGGGGTTTTTTTGCCTAATACCTTTCCATTTTATAGTCTTAAATTATTTGGAATAAAGAAAAGTTTTGAAAATTTATTAAATCTATTTTTCCAGATTAAAATAAAGCTCTTTGATTCTGAGAGAAAATGTCTATATTTTCAAATGAACTCACAAAATGGATTTATGAATATAAAAGATGTCATATCTTTCATATCTTCCTTTTCAGCAACTGTCCCTTCTACCTCTCTGTGAACATCAACCAATTATGCAAACAACCAGAAAGAAAAGATAAAAACAGTTTACTTTTGAAGCTGTGAGGCATTGAAAATAAGGTTACTCTATTCATTTCTGCCTTTTTAGATGGAGCCATTAGTGCTGAAATTGAAGCAATTTAAATATCTCTACTTTTTGGTTCTCTGATTTTCCAAACCATTAGCTTCTACAGGCTCTGAAATTTCAAATTAAATTTTACTTTGAGATGGGTGAGAGCTTACACCAAACTGAATTTTTTATCATGGTTTCCTCTGCATTCCCAAACAATTTATGCCTTATCAATTTTAACTTGCATAAACTGTTATAATGAAACTTAGAGTTGTTTTATAGCAGTTCAAATTATTCATATTCACTTCCATAAACATTTATTGTTGTCCCTTCTCTTCCAGCTGTGGTAATTATTTTCTACTAGCGGGCCTTTCAAATAAGAAATTTGTACTAATGATGAAAGCAATCGGACCCTTTCATTCTTACTTATGCAAGCAATCTTTCACATCTGATTTTATGAAAATAGCACCCTGACTGAGACCAAATATTTCTGACATATTTGAAGATCATCAGATATATTATATCTATGATGATTTCTCACCTCCTTAAAGTTCCCAGGATAAGGTACTTTTAAAAATTATGTAAGGGTAACAGCAAACAAACAAGCAAGCAGAAAAAAATTAACCTTTGAATAGAGTGAATTACTGTGAAAATATTTACTATCAAATATTTTTTGACTTTTAATTTTTGTAATTTCTTGTATAACAAGAAAAAGGTAAGCCCAAGGAAATTTGTTGCTCAGTTTTGTTTTAGGTTCCTTTTTGTCTCTTCACCTTAAGCTAATAGCACAGCAAATTTCCAATGTCTTTTTGCTTTTCTAAAATAATATTTAATTTTTATTTTAATTCCATTACAGAGCAGGATTGAGATGATGAATGGTGTTCTGATGATCCACAGTGTGAATGTCTCGGATGCTGGAATGTATCAGTGCTTAGCAGAAAATAAGTATGGTACAATTTATGCCAGTGCTGAGCTGAAGGTTTTAGGTGAGTATTGGAAAATAAGCTGTTCCTTCTTCCTTCTTCCCCTTTTGAGAATTAATTTATTTCTTAGACTGTTGTGACAAGGAACAGCTTCTGCCAAAGAGAACAGCAGAGCAGATAAAAGTGTTTTCTTTTTATTCTTGTTACTAATGCGTGGGCAAGTCCTTTGCTGCCCCAGAGAGCGTAGGGCCTTCTGTTAGCCAAAAATTTTCATTCATACATAACTGACTCAGTAACATTTTGTGAATATTTCTCATATAAGACAACTTCAATTCAAATAAATGGAAAAGTATTTTTATTCCTTCAAATGTATGTGCAGGGGATGAAATTTAGAGGAAGTAAATGTATTTGAATCTCTGTTAAAATTAATTTATTATTTCTACTTTGGTCATTATTCAAAGGCAATTATGCATGATCTTAGTTTCAAAAAACTTCTTATGAAGCCACCAAAACTGATTGAATAATATAAATTACATACTTGTGTGAATATCCTCCACAGAAAAGCAAATACACTACATAGTGTAACGTGGAAATATGACAAAAATGTCATTATCCAAAAGCTGAAGCAGGCAGTTTATGATGAAAAACTTGAAGAACTTTTCAACACTCTAATTTTCCTTAAAGTGAACTGTAGCAACATGCAATGGAACAATAGTGATAAGTGCCCTTCCAGAGGATTAAGTGAGACAGACTTGAAAGATTCATATCATGTTTATTAGGGTATGATGTAGCAGGAAGAAAGGTGTCCACCAAAGTAATTTAATGGTCATATCAGAGATTAGACCTGCACATGAGAATCATTCCTATAACCTCCAAGTCAAATGAGTAATAAAGCTATTATTGCAGAAATATACTGTATTTCAGCTAACATTTGGCTCTTTTGGCAAATAACCTTTCTAGTACATTTTAGATATTTCCTATTAAAATCCAAAGCCAGTGATTGCTCTCTTTTCATCACTATTTTTTTGGTAATTTGTGATTCAGTCAACGAACCTATTGTCTACAGCGTTCTTTTGCTCTGTTTTTTGTATCTGTTATAAAATAGGTATAGGTAGTACACCAGGTAGTTTCACACTTATGTTGTTCAATATTAGAAACAGAAACTGTATATTGCTGCAGTAAAATTGGCTTTTCATTTTCTCACTTGTAACATTGTACCCCTGTTAAATTTTATCCAAAATATTGTGTTAAAGAAGAAGTTGTGTTTAATTTCCTGCCTTACCAAAGGGAAAAGAAGAGAATAAATTGTCCATATAAATATCTCTGGCATGATGATTAACCAAAATAATGGTAGGAAATTCCTATATATTTGAGGCAATGAAGTGTAAAATCCTTGTAGGTGTAGCTTAAATAGGTAGCTTTGGCTTTGCAAAAGTAGTTCAAGAAAAACACAATCGAATGAGATTATTTGAGAACTAATGTCCTTTCTTGGTGTGAAATTACAGTAGTGTCATTTTTTTATGCATTTATTATCTTAGCTTTTGTTTGTAAACAACTTCTTAAAAAGTTAAATACTAAGAACAAGACATGATTAAATATCTTCTATTAAGAAGTTCTCATATTGAAATTCCCAGTATTCAGACAAATATAAGAAGTGAAAGCAATATAATTTCTCTAACAGTAATATTTTTTGTATGCATTAACTCTAGAGAGTGCATCTTGGATAGTTGTGGAATTAAAACTTCATTTTATTTTGAACTATTTATTCCTAACAAGTTTTTTATAAAGAAAGGATGGGAAAAGTGTTGTTAAAACATTTGTATTGTTTAATTTCTAAAGCTGTTTGATTTCACAAGTAATTTTACTTTAATCTGCTGATGTGAAAGATTTCCCAATAACCTGTAGCTGGATTAAGTTATAAATCTACCATATAATCCTGGTTGCTGATTTCAAATGTTTTGTAAAATTTCGACTTTGACATAATAATTTCAAAGAGACAAATGGAGATTCTATTTCCAAAAACAAATCTATTTTTCTAATATTCTGTTAGAACATGATGAAACAGAAGGCTCTGATTGTTCTCAGTAGAGTTAACGTATTCTTTTTTAACAGCTTCAGCTCCCACTTTCCCACTCAACCAAATGAGGAAAACAATAATTGTTACCAAGGGCCAAGAAGTTGTCATTGAGTGCAAGCCACAAGCCTCTCCAAAGCCAACTATCACTTGGAAGAAAGGCGACAAAGTGTTAAGGGAGAATAAGAGGTCAGAAGTTTGTTTGGTAAACTAAATATTGTGCTTGTATGTTGGATTCTGCGATATGATATGAATAAGGATATGCTGAACATTAGCCTGGGTATGGCATAATTATTTTGTCAAGCTGATTTGTTTGACAGTTGTGACTCTACAGTTTCCACAATATGGAAATTAAAAATCTTCACATTGTTCATAGATGCAAAGAGATGAAAAAGTGTTGTTATTTTGTGGTGTTTTGTCTCTATTTTCTGTTATTAATTTCAAAAACCTTTCAATTATTTTATAGAGGTACTACAAATTTGGTGTATGAGAATATCAAAAGCTTAGAGGTTGAAGTATTCAGGAACACATAAAATATAAAATGTGCTTAGTCATTTGAAATAATTTTAATAAGGCGGATTTACAGCTTGATCACAATGGAACTCTATGTAAGAATAGCTTTAAAATTATTCAGAGGTGGAAAATATAATTCTATTATAGGATTTAATTACACTGGTAATTTCCGTACTCAGCAGCACATCTGTTTAACTGATTATGCTTGATTAAATAAGTTCTGTCCAGCTTTGTATGGTAAAAGTAGTTTAAGCACTGCAGGTTAAATGCCAGATGTAATTGCACTTTACAAGATAGCTTATCTGTACACTAGAATATTTTTGCCACTCTGCACATGGTCTTTAAGTACAAAGAGCAATCTTTTCCTTTTTCTGGTAATGTGGTATGTGAATGAACCATTTAAAATGACTTGTGTAGTATTAATCAGAAAGATAAAAGCAAGACCCCCTTTTGTTGAATTTATGCAATACTAAGGGAAGCAGTAGAGTGCATCTCTCCTCATTAACTGCAAAAGCTATTTTGTTATTTTCACCTCATGACATTTTTTTTGTTGTGAGAAGGAAAAATGGGTAACTTCTTTTACCATATTGAATTTTTTTTGTTGAAGAGGAGAAAGGAAAACAGCATTATATACAACATTTTGCTAACAGGAGTAAGTTGTATTGTTTGTATTGAAAATATGACAGATTCATATTACTAAGGAGCAGAAAATATAAAATATTCTGACACTGATGTCTCTATGCTCTACCTACAGAGTTGATACTTTTCACTGCATGACCTTTTCCTCGCATCTCCACAAAACTCACTCTTATCACCACATGGAAATCACATTTTAATCCAAGAGCAGCAAAGTATTTTGGTAATTACTTCATATCTGTCCAAAGATAGCCTAACTCTGAAGTTAAAAATCTTATGAAAATGGATCTGGAGTTTCATTTTTTGGTATTTGTAGCTTTTGATACTTGCTGGTTTTGACAGACGCTGGAATAGGAAATGATGAAACATGGATAAAGAAAAGTTGGTTGAACTATTTCAGATGTTTGAAAGAGGAAGGTTGCATTCAATTTAATTTTTTAGTAAGCTGTTCAAGGATTATCTTGTGTCATTCACAGTAGTTTCCCTGCATCTACTGTTTATAGAGGGGTGGGTGTGAGGGGAATATCAGTTTCAAGGGAATCCAGTTCTGCCTCTATACAGTACACTTTAAACAGAAATAATAGTCTCTTTGAAGAGAAGGTGAGGAAGCCTACTGTGATTTGTGAAAGGAAGTGTAAATGAAGATTGTATGTGTGTTTACATGCTTTGGGCACTGAAGGAAAGAAGTCTGTTAAACATTTTAAAAAGGAATAAGCTGACATTGTAACCTTATCAGTATGCTTTAAAAGTGGATTTTCTTCATAGTCTGTTGATAAAAATTAAAAAAAAAAAAAGAAACAATTAGGAACTGTCATCTGATAAGTTTGAATGGACTATCGATTCCTTAGAGATTAAAAAATAATAATTTTAAAAATAGCAAAAAAATAGCAACATGCCAGTTAAATAAGGATGGGCAAGGGCAGAACAAGGATTGAATAACACATTATCTTCTCTTCTGCCACAGTTTTTTTCTCTTCTAAAGTGTGTGTATCAAGTGCACATTGTGTTTAAGTTTTGTGAAGTCTGTGAGCCCAGGAAAGGAATTTGACCCTTTTAGCAACATCAATAATAAAGAGACCTTCCCCTCTACAGGAAAGAAAAAAAAACCCCACTTGTCCAGTGGGTCTGCTATCATCTATTCCATATCTTCGAAACTCTGTTGCCCCTTAGGTTTTTTTTATTCATCAAAAGCTGATTGACAGAAAAACCCCTAGTTACATCTCCATAGGTAACTGAAGAGAAGGTTGATTGTTCCTGTGGGACTTGTGGCTGGGTACAGCTCTCACTGCAGTCAGACCTGGACTCAAACTCCTGGAATTTAATGCAGTTTGAAAGCCTCAAATGTTTCAGATTCATTGGAAAGCCGTGCACTTGGGAACATAACAATGGAAAGCCTTCATTAGCTTCATTCTTGGTCTCTTTTACCTTTGAACAAATTATCCAATTCAAGGCCTTTGTATCCATAATATAGCTATGATAGGCTTGGTCCCCAGAAATCATTTTGAGCTTCCAGGTAATTTGATTCCTCTTGGAAATCATCTGCATATTGTAACAGGCTTTTTCAGTTGAGTTTCAAATGAGTGGCAAGTCTATGAGATAGGTCCAAAAATATTAAGATATTCAGTTATTTCAGTTATTATATGTCAGTTATTTTCCAACAGAAAGCATAGCTCTGAGTTTTACAATCCCAAAATATATTAAATCGGATTAAATTACTCCTATAGAAAGATAGTTATTTAATAAAGGTTCTGTAGTGTTTATAATTCATTCTACTAAACACAGATAAAGATCAGGAACTGATGCTAAAGAAATTAAATAAATTATATGATATTGGAGATCTATGCAGAAGACTAGAACTTCCAAAGATCAAGGCATAGTCTGTAAAACTTACTGATACAAGACATTTCATGATCAGCATTTGAATGAAATTCAAGTCTTTTTCAAATATAATTATCTCAGTGAGTCATTAATACATTCACTCAAAGCTAATTTCATCCGTAATTTCACCTAGCAGTTAAAAGAAAGGAATTGTTATACTTCTATTTTGGAATTAAGATACAGCTGAGCACAACACCAATGTCAGTGATATAGGTAGAGAACATTTTTAAGCTGCATATTTTCATTAATCACCTTGCAATAATGAAAATTCTTAACTATCTTTACTAACCACTTACTTCTGTACACTGTTGTCTCATAGGCTGGTAGATGATTGTGTCTCATTTATGGCAGGCTGTGATAATGTATGCACTGGTTATTCATTGAACCATATTTCCATCCGTAAGTATTTGTAAAGAACTTTGGAGTATTTTCATAACTAGTTTTGCTTTTATAGGAAAGAGGATTATATTGGAATCAAAGTTTGAAAAAAAATTCTTACTTTGATTTAGTAAACAGTTTGGTTGAAACTTTACTTTAGAGCCTAAATTGGAAGAATTAAGCCCTTGGGCAAGAATTCAGTGACCAAAAAATATTTTTGTGTAGTTTCTGAAATATTTCAATCAGGTACTTCCTGAAATGTAATCAAACCATCACTTAGTACTTAAGCAACAGCTTCTAAACAAGACCAAGACCCAACCCACTCAGATCACAAAGCCATGAAGAAGCCTGTTTATAATTAAGCATTTTTTAACTTACATATCAAGCTAAAAGAAAGCAACAAAAGTGATGTTTTGTAGACCATAAATGTTATAATGCACACTAGAATGGACCAGAATTTGGTCAGTTACAATAAAATAAATGAGTTCTACTAACAAAGTCAATGATTAAATTCAGGACAAATATTTTTTTAAAATGTTTTTAGTTCCTGTATTCAGGCATGAGGTATTTTATAAGGATTTACAAATGCATAACTTTTTGTGAGCCATTACTCCATGAGTTGTAGTCTTTTTCTTCACTTTCTTAAAGACACCCTCTTATCTAGATTGCCTTGTAGTGTTGACTACAGCTGATATTTAGACAGATACACTTGAGGAGTCAAAAGTATTGAAAAGCCTAATAAGTCCTGTTTCATCTGTTTTTGTGCTTTCTCATGCAACTAAAATATTCTCTTCATTAAACTTATATTAAATTTTTACTCTAGCTCATTATTTCCATTACATTTCCATTAGTTATAGTTAAAATAAAATCATTTGAAAGCACTCTAACAGTGAAAATGTTCTCTTTAGTCTCTATTTTTTCTCCTTTACTAAGACTACCAAGCAATAAAAATAACAATAATAATAATTTAAAAAGCATAGTTTAACCAAAAAATGTGTCACTGAGGAAAAAGCACAGCTTAACATAAATGGGTAACTGAGGGAGCAGGACTATTCTAGTCCCAGTTCCGTGCTGCTTTATTTTGCTTTTGTTCTTTTCCTTTTGAGGCTTCTCAAATTATAACACATTTTTAATCATTGTTTGTTTTACACTGTAATTTATGTTTAGATTAATATTTAATCTAAAAAAAAAATATAGTGATGACCTAATACCTACGTATGCATTGGTAATGTAGTTCTATGTTTATGGATTTTTTTACTTTCCATATGGCACAGAGGCACAGCCTAAGCCTTCTCCTTCACCTCACAGAACAAGCTGTCCAGAAAAGCATTAACAGTCTCTGAAGGTCAGATTCACCATAGATCACCAAGAACAGAATAGTGCCAGTGTCCCTGTGGCCGCTGAGTAATTGCTCATATTGATCCACGTATGTCCCAAATTAACTTTTGCTGAAGACCTAAATACACTAAGCATTTCTGTGGGGAAAATAAATGGTAGCAAAATTCCACCTGCCACTTCAAATCAGTCACTTTTCCTATGGAGCAATTAGCTTCATGTGTTCTGCTTCTGTTTGAAGGAGTTCTGGATATAAGATGAGAAAACTTGTTATGTTAAGCAGCAGAGGGAGTTTTAGATATTTTGAAAGTAATAGTCTGGGTTTGGCCAGGACACAAACTTCAACATCCCTATTCTTGCAATACACAATCACAGTGGTAATTTTATTGATTTGCAAGTGGGTAAAATCTTTCTCCTTTTTTTCTGAACGATATAAAAGAATTACAGAA